TAGAAGTGTCCCCTAGAAGTGTCACCCTAGAAGTCTCCCCTAGAAGTGTCCCCTAGAAGTGTCCCCTAGAAGTGTCCCCTAGAAGTCTCCTCCTAGAAGTCTCCTCCTAGAAGTCTCCCCTAGAAGTGTCCCCTAGAAGTCTCCCCTAGAAGTGTCCCCTAGAAGTGTCCCCTAGAAGTGTCCCCTAGAAGTGTCCCCTAGAAGTCTCCTCCTAGAAGTCTCCTCCTAGAAGTGTCCCCTAGAAGTGTCCCCTAGAAGTGTCCCCTATGAAGTGTCCCCTAGGAAGTCGTCCCTAGAAGTGTCCCCTAGAAGTGTCCCCTAGAAGTGTCCCCTAGAAGTGTCCCCCTAGAAGTGTCCCCTAGAAGTGTCCCCTAGAAGTGTCCCCTAGAAGTGTCCCCTAGAAGGTCTCCCCTAGAAGTGTCCCCTAGAAGTGTCCCCTAGAAGTGTCCCCTAGAAGTGTCCCCTAGAAGTGTCCCCTAGAAGTGTCCCCTAGAAGTGTCCCCTAGAAGTGTCCCCTAGAAGTGTCCCCTAGAAGTGTCCCCTAGAAGTGTCCCCTAGAAGTGTCCCCTAGAAGTGTCCCCTAGAAGTGTCCCCTAGAAGTGTCCCCTAGAAGTGTCCCCTAGAAGTGTCCCCTAGAAGTGTCCCCTAGAAGTGTCCCCTAGAAGTGTCCCCTAGAAGTGTCCCCTAGAAGTGTCCCCTAGAAGTGTCCCCCTAGAAGTGTCCCCTAGAAGTGTCCCCTAGAAGTGTCCCCTAGAAGTGTCCCCTAGAAGTGTCCCCTAGAAGTGTCCCCTAGAAGTGTCCCATAGAAGTGTCCCCTAGAAGTGTCCCCTAGAAGTGTCCCCTAGAAGTGTCCCCTAGAAGTGTCCCCTAGAAGTGTCCCCTAGAAGTGTCCCCTAGAAGTGTCCCCTAGAAGTGTCCCCTAGAAGTGTCCCCTAGAAGTGTCCCCTAGAAGTGTCCCCTAGAAGTGTCCCCTAGAAGTGTCCCCTAGAAGTGTCCCCTAGAAGTGTCCCCTAGAAGTGTCCCCTAGAAGTGTCCCCTAGAAGTGTCCCCTAGAAGTGTCCCCTAGAAGTGTCCCCTAGAAGTGTCCCCTAGAAGTGTCCCCTAGAAGTGTCACCCTAGAAGTGTCCCCTAGAAGTGTCCCCTAGAAGTGTCCCCTAGAAGTGTCCCCTAGAAGTGTCCCCTAGAAGTGTCCCCTAGAAGTGTCCCCTAGAAGTGTCCCCTAGAAGTGTCCCCTAGAAGTGTCCCCTAGAAGTGTCCCCTAGAAGTGTCCCCTAGAAGTGTCCCCTAGAAGTGTCCCCTAGAAGTGTCCCCTAGAAGTGTCCCCCTAGAAGTGTCCCCTAGAAGTGTCCCCTAGAAGTGTCCCCTAGAAGTGTCCCCTAGAAGTGTCCCCTAGAAGTGTCCCCCTAGAAGTGTCCCCTAGAAGTCTCCTCCTAGAAGTGTCCCCTAGAAGTGTCCCCTAGAAGTGTCCCCTAGAAGTGTCCCCTAGAAGTGTCCCCTAGAAGTGTCCCCTAGAAGTGTCCCCTAGAAGTGTCCCCTAGAAGTGTCCCCTAGAAGTGTCCCCTAGAAGTCTCCTCCTAGAAGTGTCCCCTAGAAGTGTCCCCTAGAAGTGTCCCCTAGAAGTGTCCCCTAGAAGTGTCCCCTAGAAGTCTCCTCGTAGAAGTGTCCCCTAGAAGTGTCCCCTAGAAGTGTCCCCTAGAAGTGTCCCCTAGAAGTCTCCTCCTAGAAGTCTCCCCTAGAAGTGTCCCCTAGAAGTGTCCCCCTAGAAGTGTCCCCTAGAAGTGTCCCCTAGAAGTGTCCCCTAGAAGTGTCCCCTAGAAGTGTCCCCTAGAAGTGTCCCCTAGAAGTGTCCCCTAGAAGTCTCCCCTAGAAGTGTCCACTAGAAGTGTCCCCTAGAAGTGTCCCCTAGAAGTGTCCCCTAGAAGTGTCCCCTAGAAGTGTCCCCTAGAAGTGTCCCCTAGAAGTGTCCCCTAGAAGTGTCCCCTAGAAGTGTCCCCTAGAAGTGTCCCCTAGAAGTGTCCCCTAGAAGTGTCCCCTAGAAGTGTCCCCTAGAAGTGTCCCCTAGAAGTGTCCCCTAGAAGTCTCCCCTAGAAGTGTCCCCTAGAAGTGTCCCCTAGAAGTGTCCCCTAGAAGTGTCCCCTAGAAGTGTCCCCTAGAAATGTCCCCTAGAAGTGTCCCCTAGAAGTGTCACCCTAGAAGTGTCCCCTAGAAGTGTCCCCTAGAAGTGTCCCCTAGAAGTGTCCCCTAGAAGTGTCCCCTAGAAGTGTCCCCTAGAAGTGTCCCCCTAGAAGTGTCCCCTAGAAGTGTCCCCTAGAAGTGTCCCCTAGAAGTGTCCCCTAGAAGTGTCCCCTAGAAGTGTCCCCTAGAAGTGTCCCCCTAAAAGTGTCCCCTAGAAGTGTCCCCTAGAAGTGTCCCCTAGAAGTGTCCCCTAGAAGTGTCCCCTAGAAGTGTCCCCCTAAAAGTGTCCCCTAGAAGTGTCCCCTAGAAGTGTCCCCTAGAAGTGTCCCCTAGAAGTGTCCCCTAGAAGTGTCCCCTAGAATTGTCCCCTAGAAGTGTCCCCTAGAAGTATCCCCTAGAAGTGTCCCCTAGAAGTGTCCCCTAGAAGTGTCCCCTAGAAGTGTCCCCTAGAAGTGTCCCCTAGAAGTGTCCCCTAGAAGTGTCCCCTAGAAGTGTCCCCTAGAAGTGTACCCTTAGAAGTGTCCCCTAGAAGTGTCCCCTAGAAGTGTCCCCTAGAAGTGTCCCCTAGAAGTGTCCCCTAGAAGTGTCCCCTAGAAGTGTCCCCTAGAAGTCTCCCCTAGAAGTGTCCCCTAGAAGTGTCCCCTAGAAGTGTCCCCTAGAAGTGTACCCTTAGAAGTGTCCCCTAGAAGTGTCCCCTAGAAGTGTCCCCTAGAAGTGTCCCCTAGAAGTGTCCCCTAGACGTCTCATCCTAGAAGTGTCCCCTAGAAGTATCCCCTAGAAGTGTCCCCTAGAAGTGTCCCCTAGAAGTGTCCCCTAGAAGTGTCCCCTAGAAGTGTCCCCTAGAAGTGTCCCCTAGAAGTGTCCCCTAGAAGTGTACCCCTAGAAGTGTCCCCTAGAAGTGTCCCCTAGAAGTGTCCCCTAGAAGTGTCCCCTAGAAGTCTCATCCTAGAAGTCTCCCCTAGAAGTGTCCCCTAGAAGTGTCCCCTAGAAGTGTCCCCTAGAAGTGTCCCCTAGAAGTGTCCCCTAGAAGTGTCCCCTAGAAGTGTCCCCTAGAAGTGTCCCCTAGAAGTGTCCCCCTAGAAGTGTCCCCTAGAAGTGTCCCCTAGAAGTGTCCCCTAGAAGTGTCCCCTTGAAGTGTCCCCTAGAAGTGTCCCCTAGAAGTGTCCCCTAGAAGTGTCCCCTAGAAGTGTCCCCTAGTGATCCTTCACTGCGCCTCCCCATTCCTCCCTCCTGCCACCACCTCGTCCACCTCTTCCACCTCTTCCACGTCTTCCACCTCTTCCACCTCTTCCTATTCCTCCTGCTCCTACTCACCCAGTCGCTCAGCCAACCCCATTGTGATGGGCACCTCCACCCATAACTCCTCCTCCTCCTCCTCCCATCACTCCTATTCCCTCCCTCCGCCTGTTCCTATTCACCCTGCTCCTGTAGACTTTTCATCCGACTACCGCTCCTATAGACTCTGCTGCTACTCCTATAGACTCCTATTGCTCCTATAGACTCCTACCGCTCCTATAGACTCCTGCTGCTCCTCCATGCTCCTATAGAATCCTACTACTTCTACCGCTCGTATAGACTCCTTCTACTACTCCTATAGACTCCTACTACTACTGATCCTATAGACTCCTACCGCCCCTATAGACTCCTAATGCTCCTCCATGCTCCTATAGACTCCTACTACTACTACCGCTCCTATAGACTCCTTCTACTACTCCTATAGACTCCTACTACTACTGATCCTATAGACTCCTACCGCTCCTATAGACTCCTACTGCTCCTCCATGCTCCTATAGACTCCTACTACTACTACTGCTCGTATAGAGTCCTATTACTCCTATAGACTCCTACCATTACTGCTCCTATAGACTCCTAGTACTACTCCTATAGATTCCTACTACTACTGATCCTATAGACTCCTATTGCTCCTGTAGACTCCTACCGCTCCTATAGACTCCAACTGCTGCTCCTATAGATTCCTACCGCCCCTATAGACTCCTACTCCTCCTCCATGCTCCTATAGACTCCTACTACTACTACTGATCCTATAGACACCTTTTGCTCCTATAGACTCCTAAGGCTCCTAAAGACTCCAACTGCTGCTCCTATAGACTCCTATAGACTCCTATAGACTCCTACCGCTCCTATAGACTCCTATAGACTCCTATAGACTCCTACCGCTCCTCCATGCTCCTATAGTCTCCTACTACTTCTACTGCTCCTATAGACTCCTACTGCTCCTATAGACTCCTACTACTACTGATCCTATAGACTCCTACTACTACTACTGCTCCTATAGACTCCTATAGACTCCTACCGCTCCTCCATGCTCCTATAGTCTCCTACTACTTCTACTGCTCCTATAGACTCCTACTGCTCCTATAGACTCCTACTACTACTACTTCTGCTCCTATAGACTCCTACTACTACTCCTACTGTTCCTATAGACTCCTGCTACTACTGATCCTACATACTCCTACTACTACTCCTATAGACTCCTACTACTCCTATAGACTCCTACTACTACTACTCCTATCGACTCCTACTACTACTACTGATCCTATAGACTCCTACTACTACTACTACTCCTATAGACTCCTACTACTCCTATAGACTCCTACTACTACTCCTATCGACTCCTACTACTACTGATCCTATAGACTCCTACTACTACTACTACTCCTATAGACTCCTACTACTACTACTGATCCTACATACTCCTACTACTACTACTCCTATAGACTCCTACTACTACTGATCCTATAGACTCCTACTACTACTACTGATCCTACATTCTCCTACTACTACTACTACTCCTATAGACTCCT